TTACTTCTGTACGGAACACAAAGTACTATAATAGCAATTACTACAATACATTTTCAAAAAAGTTTCCCCAAAACATTCCAAAAAAGGTTCTTCCACAAAAACTGTAGAGTGCAAACGTCTTTCAGGGTGGCATGTCAGAATGCAGCATGTCTGTGCTCATTGAGCATTAACTCCATAAGTGTGTTACTTTTTCTTTGTCTTTTTAGGGATTTGGGGGGAATAGGTCGAGTGAGCTGGCGCCACAGAAAGACAAAGAGGAAAACTGTCATCACAGTGAATAGTGAAACTATTGCATCGTAGGTAGCAGTACAGGAGACTTTTTCATAGGCTGACCGGTACAACATTGATTATCAATGCAAAAAAACCCCGAAAAAAAATCCCGATGTTCTATGGTGTCAGGATTTAAACATTGGATACTCGACTACTTGTCACTCATTCATTTTTTTGCTGAAAAAGAGCACCAGTGGCCAGCCTCATTAAGAATGAGGCTGGTCACTGGTGCTTATTGTCGACCAATATTGATGATTGGCAAAAAAGCAATCATGCCGAATTAGTGTGACTGATGCACGCAGGTGAGTACATTTGCTATTTGACAATTACTAATGATGAATTCCATGTAAATTAGGAAAGGAACTAAATAAAAGGGGGAAATTGAAAGTTCCCCTTCTGTGCTATTATTGATTGTACTGAAAATATTTTTACACATACAGCATACTGGTATGATGTGGTAAGTGTCATTTGGATTGTTTTGGGGTACTTTTCATAAAATAAGGGGGTCATTCAACAAATAAGGTGCATTTTTCGGTATATGGACTTCTGGGAGACACCTCGTGAAGTTTTTGCTTCCTCCGTGGATATTACCTCTCCCTGTGGACTCTTTGTGCTCCCCCTTGAACTTTAAGTAAGTTTCAGTTTGGATTCTCCTGAGTTGACTTTGCAAAGCTAATAAATTCTGCCAAGTTTTGGCTGATGCCATTCCTGTCTGTTCTTGTGCGTTTGGTGTTTCATATAAACCCGAAGAAAATCACAGGTAATGTTCCATTACATTTATTTCTTGATTTTTCTCATGGGTTCCTCGCGCGTTCCCTTTTCAGCGCATGTGTGGGTGAATGAGACACACTTGGCACAATTGACAGCAACACAGGAGAAAGAAAGAAGCATGAGGGGGGGGGAGTAATTTTGCATTTGGAAATTGTGACCAGAGCCAGAATAAGCTTCAATAAGATGTGAGTCATGGTTCAGTTTAATGTGTTTGTTTGTTGTGTTTTTATTACAGGTTATTACACATTCAAACTGAGTACTGTTTGTGTTTTAGGAAGGGTCCGTTACATTGACTGAAGTGTACGTGTTATTGAGAGTATGAAGCTGCACTGTTGCTGTTCAGTGCACTTTTCTTGAATGAATGAAAATGTTTTAAGAAATAAGAGGATATTCTAATCAATGAATTGATTAAATGATTACGTTTTGGAGAAGGATGTTGTTTGTTTATATATATATATATACCTGGTCGTCACAGTAGTTGTTTTTACAGTGTATATTACATTTTACTGAAAGGGTCATTTCAGACGTTGTTTAAAACATGATATGTAATAGGACAAATGACATCCATCCATCCATTTTCTGATCTGCTTTATCCTCACAAGGGTCGCGGGGCATGCTCGAGCCTATCCCAGCTGTCTTCAGGCAGTAGGGGACACCCTGAACCAGTTGCGAGCTACTCGCAGGGCACACACAGATGAACAACCATCCGCACTCACACTCCATTAACCTACCATGCATGTTTTTGGAATGTGGGGAAAACATGCAAACTCCACACAGGAAGGCCGGAGCCAGAATCGAACCCTGCACCTCTGCACTGAGACCGGCGTGCTAACCAGTCGACCAACGGGACCACCGGACAAATGACATAAAATTTTGTGAAACTGAGCGATACCTAAGATTTCGGTATTGATAGATACCAAGTATGTACTGGAGCCTGTATCGCCTACACTGAGCCCAATACTTTTCTGTCAAAGGTTAGTAGTACACTTTGGATTAATCAAACAGTCGTGACACACCAAAATACATGGTGCAAGCAACAATAAATACTTGTGGACAAAAATACACTATAAGTACCAGTGGAATGTAGCTCAATGTTACATAGTAAAACTAGTGTTTCTTCGAAAGAAAAATACTCAAGTAAAAGTAAACAGTATGTTGCATTAGAACTGCTCTGATAAGTACAATTCATCCCAAAAAGTTACTTCAGCAAGTATAATGTAAATTTGGCTCATAGTCGCAGGTAGGAGAAGATCCTCTGCCAATTCGATCTGCTATCTGGTAGGACGCATGCCTGCTTGTTCCTGCTTCAAGCACTAAGACACTTTGGTGATTCCTTAAAGTCTTCTTCCAAAGTACTCGACAGGTTTCGTATTTCTTGTGCCAATACTTCTCTGCGCAAAACTGTGCTGTTCCCCTATTTTGTCCTCAAGAAATGAAAGTCCATAATTTATCCAGACTATGTAGCTTTTCCTCCATCTATGGAATGACCAGAGTACATTAGCTGTGCAGCACACTGTCGCCGCCTACTGTTTGGCGGTATGAATAGCAGGCATTCCAAGCCCTTCACAATTAAAGCTTGATCTTTTTTTATGATTGCCATTCTTTGCCAGTACCCTCTGTGAATTGTACACGAAACAAACTGACTGACAATGATAATAATAAAAATAATAATAATGATGATAATAATAAAAGCTATATCGCAACAACTCTGATCGCAAGCTGCAATTGCAGACTGCTGAGCGCTAACAGCTTTTGGTGACGCAGGTCACGCACCACCGTAGGTTAAAGGTGACCTGCTTTATTTCTTCTTTTTTTTTATACTTTTTGTGAAAATGTGACTGATTGATTGGATGATTCGGGTGCAGTGTGCATTAACACAAAAAGTATATTACTAACATGCACAGAGATACACAAATGTTTGTTTGTTTGTTTTTCCTCTACACCCCTCATGATCGACTTGGGAGCTACCGGTCCGATCACGATCAACGTAATGGGCACCCCTGCCCTAAAGCATGGTGATGCAGCAAAGATGCAGTGAAAAATGGATGAATTCTTCCTCTTTTTAACAACCACCCAACATAAACATTTTGCATGTTTGAAAAATCGACTCCCAGAAAGACTCTCGGTATTGACGTTGTCAACAACAACAACAAAAAAAAACCTCCAGAAATTTGGTAAGTACCGGCAATGCAAAGCCAGCTGGGGGAAACACATCTTAACACTTGAATGAATTGCTCCTGGTAAACAAAACTATCCCTTAAAAAGCTCACCAAAAAAAAAAACTGTCCACAGGAGATGAATGCGCTTGTGATTCTATGTGCCAAATTGTCTTAGCAGCGCTCTGAATACGGCCACACTGAGCACTAACCCTTTAGTGAGGATATTCTTTAGCAGCTTGAAGATAAATAAATCAATTCTTTGTTGAAGTCACTTGATTGAGTACGACAGCTCCGGTGGCAGGGAAGGCTGCGATAAGAGCACTTTTGATAGGAACATTTATCATGCGGCAGGATAATCGCACGTAACTTCGATTCCCACATGTCAGTTTATTAAGTACACCGAGATAGAGCCTGTGCAATATTATAAAACAGGGACGAGGGCTTCGTCTTAATACCATTGGTTCATGTATTTGGCATGTTGCTTTTCCTTTTGTTTCATGGTCTCCCTTCAGGTAGGCCACTTTAATTGAATCATGCATGACTACTGACACACAACAAATTTCGTGGCTAGCAGGGCTGCTACCAGCGGGCGGCGGAGGAATATAAAAAGCTTGTGCATCTTATTTTTAGGGGAGGTATCTGGACTTTTAAAAGAGGAAAGGGACTTAGAGGCTACCATTCTGCAGGGCATTGCTCCCTCACGTAAAGCGATATAAATAAATCATGTCCTCTCTTAAAGGCCCGGTGCTGTTAACCTGAACCAGTCGAAAAAGAGAAAGATTGCTTAAATGGATCAAGCATGTCCCCCGAGTCACTGCAGACAAGAAATGACTACATGGAGCAGCATTGTGATTTGGATTTGGATTTCCCAATCGGACATTTTTATTCTCAAACCGAGGAAGAGCAAAACTCGTTTGACAGAATGACTACATGCATTAACCAGATTATATTACACGATTGATAAACATGGCTGGTGGTGATATCCAGTGTTTTGTTTTTGTTTTGAGTTTGCATGTACCTGTACTCCTTATATACTCCGACATAGTTCAAAGCTTTTAATGTGTGAAATCAGTCATGCTGTGGGGTACAATTTAGCAATGATCCACCTTTGCATTGCCTTTGCAGGGCAACATGGTGGACTTGTGTGAGCGCATCTCTAAGGTCTAGGGTTCAAAACCTGTGTCAAACTTGAATGTTCACCCTGTGCTTGTGTAGATTTTCGTTCCAGGTATTCCGGCTTCCTCTCAAATTCCAAAAATGTGCATTTTAGGTTGATTGAAAACACATAATTGTGGATGTGAGTGTGAATATTTTTGTTTGTGCCTTGCAGTTGACAAGGCACCAGCTTTGCCGTCAGTCAGCTGGCATATGCTGACGAAAATGCTTTTAGGTTGATGTACAACCATGAACAATAGCACAATTATTCATAATTGCAGTCTGTCAGCAAAACAATTTAAAACGGGTACTTCCGTTGTCTGCCAAGATTGGGAAATTGAAAGATTTTATTTTGAAGGATGAAACGTAGGTGACGTATTTATTTGGTCCAAAATAGCTCTCGCGATGACGTATGTCGAATGGAAATAAGTCAAATGGCAGTGCCGTAATTAATCAAAGAGTATTCGAATGACTTCACACGATATGGAGTGATGACCGCTTCTCAGATTACGTAAGAAACGACGTATTCGCAGCAGACGTCTTTCGCCGCGCATCGCGTTTGCGAATACGTGACCGCTTCCGGTGACATCAGGCCCAGATCACGTCACTCTTCCCCACGCAACTAGCGGCTGGCGCGAAACGTTTTTGACGTCCGGGATGTATGAAGGCTTCCACCTGCCCTCTGACACAGGACGGCTAATACTGCGATCCCTCAGTGAGCGAACGTCCTTGCTGAAACATGTCTGTGTGAAAAAGTAACTTGCTCAGTTACAAAGAAATTCAGGTCACTCTTTTGCAAAGACTCTCTCCTCAACGGAACACTTAATTGCTCACGTAGAAAGTAAGTACGCACGTGTTTTTTTGTTCCTGGTACGCAATGACGTTGACGATGGAGGTTTTCCGAACAATGGCCAATATTGCAGACCATATCATATCTTGTATCCATGTTATTTGTTGGGATTTCATTAGGATTTAATCGTAAAATGTGATGAATATGCAACAAAACAGTGCTAATATAATAAACCAATGTTAAAATGATCATTTTAAAGCAGTGTGCTGCTCCTGCCTCAATATCAGTAGCCAAAGGTGCCCAGGTATTTAGCGCTTTATAGTAGTTGATAATATTAAATGGTATTAGCTCTGGATATGCGATATTGACTGCAGTATACTGTGGAATAAGGTTGAACACTGTTCAATTTGGGATGTAACGTTCACATTTTTGTTTCGGATTAATATGTTAGATTTGCTTAATATTGTAAGCCATTGTAATATTAAACAGCTTGAACATTAGCACAGGTCTGAATTACAGAAATGCTACTTTGAAAAATGATTCAACTAAATTGTGTTGCACAAAATGGTTAAATAAAACATGTAGCTAAATATTTAAAAACAGTTCTTGAAGATCAAATGCAAATGTGTTGAACTTAAAAATGAAATACAACTGAACTGTACTTGGCAATGCTTCTTTTGTAAACCGTTAGAAGGAGCCCACATCGCACTCGTGAGACGCATGCCACTTTGAGAATTCTCAGTGTGCTGTTCAAATTTTGAGGTTCCACTGAAATATTGTTGTATCTAATATATTGGTGCCACTTGACCTGCAGCGCGTTTAGTGTTCACTCATCCAATTCCCCATCCCTCCCCATTATTTTACTGAACAAGAGTTATCACCTTCAACCAATTAAGCAGACGTTTTGCACTAGCAGATAACGTGAAATGCAAAATGTCAAAAAATATAGTGAATTTTTATCAACCCAAGGATGTCCTGAACCAGAAATAATCCACAATTGTTCCCTTTTATTGCCATACGTGACTTATTGACCTCAACACCTGCAAAACCAACATTCACCCTGTTTTCAGGTTAGAAAAACAAAAAGAACTACCGGTAAGAATATATTCGGTGGCTGTCAGATTTAAACTAAAGAATACAAAAAGTACACACTTGCCTTTGCCACAGTACTCGGAAGCTCAGATGAATCTCCTTGCTTTGTTCATAAAGATGTTTAAAAATCAAATCCTTAAAAAAAAATAAATAAAAAAAAAAGGCCCGTCAGTTAGATCCATCTGCATGAGTGTATGTGAAATGAGATTCTATTGTATGAATGATATTTTAAGTCTAAGCTATATAGAGAACGAGAGGTAGGACCACATTTTTTTTACCACCTTTTTAGGGCATGTAAACTGCCAAAGGATGAAGGCTAATGCAACCCATCAAACCAAAAATGTGACTTTTACAGGTCCATCTGTGTGAGTTTACGCTGCTGCTTGCAACTTCTCCATTTTAGTCTCATATCTCAAAGACCTCTCAAACTTGAAGAAATATGGTGAGTGTAGCCCGAATGCGCGACGCCGCGGCATGCCCATTCTGCGATCATTTATCTCTGCTTTCCATCCCACCGCCAATTTCGAACAGCGTGAGTGTATCTCAGTGCACGTGGGTCAGGCCGGTGTTCAGATTGGAAACGCCTGCTGGGAGCTTTACTGCCTGGAACACGGAATCCAACCGGACGGCCAGATGCCCAGTGATAAGACGATTGGTGGCGGGGACGACTCTTTCAACACCTTCTTTAGTGAGACGGGAGCTGGAAAACACGTGCCCAGAGCTGTGTTTGTTGACCTGGAGCCCACAGTCATTGGTAAACTCCATAAATTGCGTCTGATCTAGGTGACGACCGACTCTGTAAAGCAATTTGATCTCCTAGATGAGGTGCGAACTGGAACCTACCGCCAGCTCTTCCACCCTGAGCAGCTGATCACCGGCAAGGAGGACGCTGCCAACAACTACGCCCGAGGACATTACACCATCGGCAAAGAGATCATTGACCTGGTGCTGGACAGGATCCGAAAACTGGTGAGAAACCTCCAATTGAACCGCAAACACTCCATATAGTTGCTCCACTTTGAACTCCTTCCTTCTTTTTGATCAGGCGGACCAATGCACCGGCCTTCAGGGCTTCCTGGTGTTTCACAGCTTTGGTGGGGGCACCGGCTCTGGATTCACCTCCCTCCTGATGGAGCGTCTGTCTGTAGACTACGGAAAGAAATCCAAGCTGGAGTTTGCCGTCTACCCAGCTCCCCAAGTATCCACCGCAGTGGTGGAGCCCTACAACTCCATCCTGACCACCCACACCACCCTGGAGCACTCCGACTGTGCCTTCATGGTGGATAACGAGGCCATCTACGATATCTGCCGCAGGAACCTTGACATCGAGCGCCCTACTTACACGAATCTAAACAGACTGATAGGTCAAATTGTGTCCTCCATTACCGCGTCGCTTCGTTTTGACGGTGCGCTCAACGTTGATCTGTCAGAGTTCCAAACCAACTTGGTGCCGTATCCCCGCATCCACTTTCCTCTGGCCACCTACGCTCCCATCATCTCTGCTGAAAAGGCCTACCATGAGCAACTAACTGTCGCGGAAATCACCAATGCCTGCTTTGAACCGGCCAATCAGATGGTGAAATGCGACCCCCGTCACGGCAAGTACATGGCGTGCTGCCTCTTGTACCGTGGCGATGTGGTACCCAAAGATGTCAACGCTGCTATTGGAACCATCAAAAACAAGCGCACCATCCAGTTTGTGGACTGGTGCCCCACTGGTTTCAAGGTGGGCATTAACTACCAGCCCCCCACTGTAGTTCCTGGCGGAGACTTGGCGAAGGTCCAGCGGGCAGTGTGCATGCTGAGCAACACCACCGCTGTTGCTGAGGCATGGGCTCGGCTCGACCACAAGTTTGACTTGATGTACGCCAAGCGAGCCTTCGTTCACTGGTACGTGGGTGAGGGCATGGAAGAGGGAGAGTTCTCCGAAGCCAGAGAGGACATGGCGGCCCTGGAGAAAGATTATGAGGAGGTCGGTGCCGACTCCATTGATGACCAGGGAGAAGAAGGAGAGGAATACTGAGTGGCGTCACGCCAATTTCCTACTCATTTAAAACACCGCAGTTCAATTATTATGGATGAAATCAGTGCTCTGTTTAATTCTAAACAATGTTTTATACCGTCATTGTAGTGTACTGTCAAGTACCACTGCTTTGATAGATGTGTAATGCAATTGCATGAAATTCAATAAAGTCAAAACACATTCTCTTGTGACCATTTTTTGTAAGAGCAAATTACAACATTGCTATTCTTGACTGGACAAAACTCGCTCCTCCTTGTCTGCCTCAACTCATTTTTGGATGTTTTGTTGGAGATTTTCCCTGCTGGTTGGTCTTCAAACTTACACAGAAATGTCAGGACCTGTGAAGAAACTGCTTTCAGAGAGGCAGACCTGATGAAAAGTGAAGTTCATGAAGAACCTTCGTATCTTTGAATCGAGTGGAATAAACAAATGCAGCACGCTGCTTTTCCCTGCTTTCGTGTAGCTACTTAAGTGACCATATCACAGTGACCATATCACTACTTGGGTTTAAATTGTGACCAACGTCTATGCATAGGCCAGTACAGGAACAAATGACAACATTAGGCAGCGACAACACAGACGTGACATAAAATATTGCTTTGCGTTGAATTTGACCTGGATTAACTCTTCTCAGTGGCTCAAAAAGCAGATCACCTCGGAATTACTCCGCCGTGGGCCATTGTTTTACCGCTTTTGTGTGATTTGTGATGACGTCTGTCATATCTGGATATCTGTCTCACGGTCTAATTCATCTTACACTGGAGTTGCATTGGCAGATTCAGATCTCATTTTCCGCCTAAATCTAGTGAGGCCTTATTTGCATCTGAGGACAAGATTCCATGTGTCGGGGGTTTGTTCGTATATCCAAGCAAGGCCACAAATGAAGGGGCGGAGGAGCAAATTGTGTCATTGAACCACGTAGTGTACATCCTGCCAAGGAAATGCAGCCAGTGTTTCATGGTTATGTATTTGGTTTTACAAACAGGGGTGCACATGGCAATTTTGGTGTGGCTCTCAAAAGAGTACCAATGGTTGTTTGCTGCTCTTGACCTGTCTTTTTGACATTTCGGCTTGCCTTATCTCAATTTTTATTGCTATTACATCATTTCTACCCATATCCACACAACGCAAAATTTCTACCCATGTCCACACAACGCCATTACGCAATCATATTCAATCTTATGCTGTGTTTTCTATTCTATTGCTAATTTATTATATTTATTCTACAAATATACTGTATTGCTATTGCTATATTTTATATTAACATTAACATAACATAAGATATCATCAGTCTTTAACAATTCATTAATTTCATAATCTGCTGTTACCAACCGCCCAATTTATTTGGGAAAAGTCAAATAAGGGGAGTACAGTACATGAAGTAATATGTTAATATGTGCAGATTTGTCATTTTAAAGTGATTTTAATAGTATTAATTGTAGTGCTTATTTCCAAATTATAACAATACACACACACACACACACACACAATTTATTGCGATTGTGAATGGTAAGGGTAAGCGGTTTGGATAATGAATATTTTAGAAAAAAGAAAAAAGACTAATTCAAATTGTAAACGATTGATTGAGTTGCTGTGGCTCTCACCAACTCTTTCAGTTTCTCAAATGCCTCCATCTAAAAAAAATGAATAGCCCATCCCCGACTTACAGTATGGGGCCACGCGATCATCTGATATGGCACAGTTCTCTCGAGCAGAGGTCTCCAGTCAGTTTTGCACCACGGACCAATATTACTGAGAGATATATTTTGATGGACTGTCACAGCCCCTTGTCGGTGAGCCCGAGATGCCCAAAAGAATCAGATGCATCGTCCTCTCAGCCACCGTCGCTTCCCCTCGAGTGGTGCCTGTTCCGCACACGCGCGGCTGAGCTCAGCTGAAGCGAGAGGGAAACGAATCAGTTTATGAAGTCATTCCATACGTTCACTCACTCGTTAACTTGATGGAGTCCTTTGCGAATAACACAAAACTACTTGAGCCACATCTATCGCTCCGCTCTCCTCCCCCCAAAATTTATTGGTACGTAAATGTAGATTTGGAAACCGTGAGAAAGTGGAGCCGTTTAAATATTTTCAGCGTGCATACCCACGTGAAAATCCCTTTTTATAAAACACCTTTGTCATGTCGTGTGGACCCAAATGTTCATGAATGTACCCCAATAAACACTGTACTCCTACAGTATCGATGTGCATCACAAACCCTTGCTGGAGTTAACTGTGGCCTCTACTGTATGTGCTGTCAAAACAAATATGCTTAAAGGTAATTTGATTGACTGACCAATTTGAAAACACTCATAAAAAACACGGGGTGGCATATGTTGGTCGACCGGTTAGCACATCCACCTCTAAGTGCAGAGGCCAAGGGTTCAATTCCGGAATCCGGCCTTCCTGTGTGGAGTTTGCATGTCCTTCCCGTACCCGTGTGGGTTTCCTCCGGGTAATCTGGTTTCCTCTCATATTCCAAATAAATGCATGACAGGTGAATGGAACACTCTAAATTACCATGATTGGCCTTTGTGAGACGTGGTCAAAGTCAAATGAGTTTTTACGAAATGAGCTTCGCATGTTGATTGTCCTTGCAAGAAGGACAGGGGTGAATCTGCTCTCAAGGCTCGCCCTCCTTCTAACAGCGCCCGCTGGCCCTTACTCTGGCTTTTTAGATGACTTTTCTGAAAACTTGTGGCTGACTTTATGACTCACACAGATAATATTTATGAAGGGTAACATTAATATTCCCATTAATCTTCCATCTGAATCGCTTAACGCGGCATTTCAGACGATAATTGATAGTTTTGGATTCATGTGGATAGATAGACGAAGTGATGCATAAATATGGTGATACCTGTCATGATTGTTCTGTTTATGACCAACAGGTGGCATTGGAGGGCTTCTCCTACAGCATCGTACCTGTTGGTCATCATGTCATTAGTTCTTTTCTTTTCAAAGGAGTGCCTCGCCAACCAGTCGGGGTCGGATCGTTGTATCGCTGTCATGTTGCTTTTGTTTCTGCCTGTTTGTTTGTTATTTTGGTTCCTTGGTGTTTTTAGGATTTTCTTTGATTTGGACTTGGTGTCTCCAGTGTTTGGTTAATCAATTTTGTTCAGTCCACCCTGCATCTCCCTCCTACCTGCATTTTGAGTCCTCGACCATCACGCAACATGACAATATCTCTTTGTTACGAACCCGAGGCCTAGCAACCCCGAATGTAATTTTGTATACGACTGCTATGTCTGAACATTACTTGATACAGTTTTAAGTCTTGGCTCATTTGCTGCCATCGTGACCACAATCAAAGCTAGAGAAGCCACAATTTCACAAAATATCACAACTGCTGCCAATATTAGACATACAAATGGATTTCAGGTATAGAATAATAAAGCTACTCGTTTGGTCCACATATTCTGTATCCACAAGCTGAACTACAGTATAAATAAATATGTGCGCTGAACTGATTTGGTTTCCAATTTTATGCCCGGATTGCATCATGGAAGCATCTGCCGCTGGGATTTTGTCGCCCATCCAATCCTGCAGGCCTTTACTTGCTGCGGATCTGCAGCCAGCAAGCAACAAGGAAGTGACAGATCATTTCGGCGGGCGTCGGGTTCCCGTTGAGCCTCTCGTATGCAGGAGCAAATGTCTCACCATGCGCTTGTGTGAAAAACACAGACGCAGGCCCAATTTCCAAACTAGGATGAGAGGTCCTGACACTAGAAATAACGGTGGAAAATGCCCCAAAATGAGAACATATCCCTGTGCGTTGAATTTCAAGCGACAGTTGCATTGCATACGGATGCCAGGTTTAAGATAAGATAAGATAAGATAAGAAAACCTTTATTAGTCTCGCAATGGAGAAATTCCCAATTCACAGCAGCAAAATTATGAATGGAAGAAGTAGAACAACAAAATATAGGAGCTGCTGGAAAGGCAGCCACTCACGCGGCGCCATCTTGAAGTCAAAATAACAAAAATAACACAACACAACACATAGGACACAGATAGTCGTGCAATCTTCACCACTTTCCTGCATACACTTTGTTGTCTGAAGCAGTTATAGATGAAAGAGGAGAGGTTTGAATCCAATCATGAAAAGTTGGTATGATGTTGACGGTGTATGAAAGCACCTTGGGATATAATGACCAGTTGTGATGGGCTGTTACTCAGTACCAACAGCAAACAAATGAAAATCAGTGCCAGTTGAGCGGATTCAAACAAAAGATGAAGATGCTTTGCATCCAACCCAGATGTAAAAAGCTGAACAATAAATATATTTCACAATTTGATTTCAAACCTAAAGGTTGACAGTCTACGCTGAGCATTCATCTTAAAATATGTGGATTTAGGAATGCATCCTTCAGTTTTCTGTCAAGTATCCTGTTCAGGAGCTGAGCTGACGATGGACTTGGCTTATAAGAAGTCACCAGTCACACTCACACACATTCCCAGGTACAATCACTGGTCGAGTGGGAAACAATCTAGACAAGTTGCATGAAAACTGGTAAAAATACTTAGATCTGCGCTTTTATCTACAATATGAAGCAAAATCAATGTGGATTAATGCTCTCCTTTACACATTCACAATCGGCTTTAGTAAACAGGTCAGCCGTGATCGATCGTTACCTGAGTGACTGTGATGTCATTTTCAGTCGACAGCAAGTGGCAAAATGGTTGGAATTTGGTGATCAACTCATATTCCACAAACGCAATATGATTCAGAATGCCTTATTTAGACTAGCGGAGGTGCAAAGAACATATTCCTGTGCATATTACTGTCGAGAAAAGTTGGGGTTTGCCATCCACTTTAATTAAATGCTAGCATTTCATTTTCTCCATAATTTCATGCGTTTGTTGTCATCATGCCACAAGCACCGTTGCCTCTAAGCATGGTTTGTGAGCAAATGCGCACTGCCCCCTGCGTGTCTGCGCACAAACTATCTGAGCTGCGCACAAGGTAAAAATCCAACCAGTATTGAAAATAAAATAAATGCATAAATTATTCTGTATTATGCAACATGTGATTGGCTGTTCCAGGTTGTTATTTGACGCGATACGCTCACGCATTTACGTCATGACGTTGGTCACTGTAGAAAGGTCTACTCTGCAAAACGTGTTGCGAAGCTAAAGTAGCAAGCGAAAAAAGTGTGGAGCGAATGGAAACTCGACTACCTC